TCCTCCATGGCTTTGATACTATTGTCTTATGTTATTTTTTACCTGACTTCAAGGTTTTAAATTTAATGTCCCTTTATCAGGAAACCATGAACTAACCTCTTGTACAAACAACAAAAACCCAGCCAACTGTGGCTGGCTAGTGTGTAAAAGAACATCAATATATAGGCTCCTATTCTTAGACGGGGACTTTTCTATTATCCTTCCTCCGCCGAGGCTCTAAACTTCTCAAAAATTTCTCATATACAGGCTCATATTCTTAGACAGGGAATTTTCCATTGTTCTTCCTCTCAACATCTTTTTTAAAGAATTTTTNTTGTTTGTTTGTTTGTTTTCCATCAGGGCAGTTCTCCAGCTTGATTTGTGGTATTTATCCTGGAGGCTTAGTCTAGAATACCAACATTGCTTGGTTCAAAAGCATGCTTGTTTCAAAAGCATCCCAAAATTCAGGAAGCACCACATCTTTTTAATATGTCTGTTTAGTCACCAGTCTTACATTTAGCTATACTCTTTATACTAATACAATCTTGTAAATATCTTCTAAACCTATCGTCTATCTCATTGGGTATGATGACTATGTCCTGATGGGTCCACTTCCCTCCTTTCTGCACAATATGTGCAACCAAACCCCAACCCAGTTTTTCAAAGGGCAGCTGGAAGAATCTTTCTAACATGTATCTGGTTACATCAATGCACGGCTTGAAACGTTTCAATATTTCCAGTAATCATTTCTGTGAATTATAATCCCCTAATTAGCTGCAAAGCCTCTTATAATGCAACCCCTGCTTCCTACTCTAACTTCTGCTGTCCTCACTCTATGTATTTCTATGTATTTTCAAATCTTCTCTCACTTTTTGTTCCTGCATGCTGCCTCTGTCCATTGCATGTTCAAATTTGCTGCTCCATGTTTCTGGAACACTTTGACAATCATGCCATTATGTGGCTATTCCTGTGATCCTTGAGATGCCAGCTCAACGGTTGTTTCTCCTGAAAGTTTACCCTGAAACGCACAAGTCCTACATGCTCCCAATAGCCTGCACATTCCCTGTCACACTCATCAGCTTTACTTTAATTGAATGCTCACGTGCCCATATCCACATTAGACTGGAAGCTCTGTGGCAGCAGGGAATGTGTCTACTTTCCTCATTGTACTGGGCAATCTTCAAAGAGCCAACCAATAGGGTGTTTTAGCTATATTTGTTGAGATTTGAAGGTCCACAATTGTATATTTCACTTTAGTTTCTAATTCATGCAATTGCTGAAACTGAATCAACAGCATCATGTGTAACTTCTCTAAGAAGCATAAGTAAAACTGAATTCACTTCAGCTGGTATAATCCATGACAGAGTCTTGCCATCTCCTTCATAGCCTAAAAAGAGTTCCTGCCTAATTACTTGTTCCTTAGGGATATCTTCTCTGTCAGAGTGCTCCACTAAAGAAATTAAAATCTTTATTTAATTTACCAATATATTGACAAGGACAAGTAAATTCAGGAAGCAAAGACACTATTTTATGAATAATAGAATTAACATTCCTTTTAGATTGGAAGGCAGATTAAAGGTTTAGGGGCAATTTGCATCTCTTTAAGAGTATGAGTAAGACACAACTCTTACAGACTTAACCCCTTGCCCAACCCTCCCAAGCAAAAAAACAAAAACAAAAAACGGCAGATTAAAGGTTTAGGGGCAATTTGCATCTCTTTAAGAGTATGAGTAAGACACAACTCTGACAGACTTAACCCCTTGCCCAACCCTCCCAAGCAAAAAAACAAAAACAAAAAAACCCAAAAGCCAATGCTGACCATATTTATAAAGAATAAATTTTGAAAATATAGCAATTATCATGAGATAAATTTTCCTTATTACAAATTAAAAATGCAATTTCTTTATATTCAAAAATAAAATTTCTTACTATTACTGAAAACAATCTAAAATAATGACTCAATACATGTTATAACTGAAGCAGAAATAAAAGGCTTTCAACTGAGGTGTATATCTATAAGCTGAAGTGGATGAGACACAATTGACCAAAATTCAGAAGAAATCTAAGTCTTCTTTCCAACCTCCTGGGTTTTCTGATGTTTTTGTAACACAGGGAAAGCACTTACTGATTTTCACTTCTTAATTTCCCTCTGATGAGGTCCCTGGCACAGCAGCTGTACACTCTCTTATCCAGACAGAGACTGCTTCCTGGGAATGCCCTTCACAGCCAGGCTGAAGTCTCTGTGCTGAGGGTCCCTTCCATCTACTACACCGCACAGGGCTCCAGAACTCTAACGACTGATCAAGTCCAGGGAGGAATTTCAGCCCTTGTGCTGGAGAAGTTGGAGATCTGCTGGATCATCTCATGAGGAACAGAGGTGGCCTGAGCCTTTTGGAATTTGCCACCCTCCAGCTGCTCCAGAGGAAACCTAAAAACATTCTTGTTCTTAAGATGGGAAAAAAGGAAGATTCTCCCACCTGGGCACAGAACTGTGGAGGTCTTCTGCCTTGGCAGGTCATGGGTTTAGGCCAGGTCACAGCGAAGGGTGCAGAAAGAGCTGGGGAACATGGTCCTCAGTGTCACCAGGGAAGAGGTAGTGTGGCTACTGGGGGGATGCAGCAGGCCTGGTGGGGTCAGCATCAACCCAGCTGCTGTCAGCACCTTCTTGCATGTGAGAATCTTACACAGCAAGCCCAGGGTTATCAGGTTTTGTACTTATCCCAATTTGCTTCTACTTTTTTTCACTTTGTCTTCTATTTATGAGCCTCAGATAATGTCATGACTTCAACATTTCACTTGTATTATTACAATGGAAATTAAACATATTCATAGAAGATGAAAGAAGTCTCAATCCAAAACGATGTATTCATCCAAATGAGAACCAATGTTGAAATAAAAACCTGTCTCAATCTATATCTCTTTTTAAATTCTAATACTAGTACTTTGATCCTGGACACTGTTTCTACACTTCTTAAATTGCACTGAAATACAAGTTGCCTCATCTCTCTGCATTTCCCTTTTTTAGAGGCTCATATGCTAGATTTGATATCTTCCACCTTTCTTTACAGGAGTCATAGCTCATGCTTTTTGACATAATCTACAGATAATAGTGGCATATAACAGGAACACAAAGAGTTAAATCACATAGCTGTCTTCATTCTGTCACCAAAAATGTGCTGATTGCATATACATGATACACAATGCACTAGGCAATGAGGATTAGGGGGAAAGTAAGACAGGGATGCTACCTTCCAGGAAGCAGCAAAGACAGACATCAATGACATGATTAATACTAATTCAACACTAGCACACTCAGCACAGATAAGAAGTCCTTAGAGATAGTGAAGAGGGGAACCAGGAGGCAACACAAGGCTCCACTTTGTAACAAAATCTGCGGCTCATGGGAAGTTATATGACATCACATTTTTGTTTCTTCTAAAAAATTGAGACAACTTTACTAGTGGTCACATGAAAACTGTAAAGATTAAATCAAATAAAGTTTTTCAAATTACTGGCTGAAAATCTGAACATCGTAAATGAAAGTTACTATTAGTAGTGATATAACAAATATCATAATCCTCTGTATAGTCCACGTTCAACTGAGTTAAGCCAAGAGGAGCTTTCACTGCAGCTCCCTTGACACTCTCAGGGCCAGGCACACTGGCGCCTCCCAAATGGAAATTCCTGAAGGGGGACTGTCTGCAGACCTGTGCAGGAGCAGAGTCCAGGCTCCTATTGTCAGAGCACTGCCTGACACAGAAGAGAAACTGCCCAGCACACCCAAAGCACCTTCCAGGGAACCGGCATGTCAGGAAACTGTCAGACACAAAATGACTGTTCTATGAATAGTATATGAATAAAATAAGTAATCTTTCCCTCATATTCACTTAGTTTAAACCACATTTGGTGATATATATTGAAGTACTATTAAACAAAAGTAGTAAAGACCAGGAAAAAAGTTCAAAAATATATATTATATATAGTACATATATTACTTATTCAGATATAATATATATTTAAATATATGTAAACATATAAGGCTAAATATATTTAAATGTATATAAATACACATTGTATATCACATATAAATATATAATACTGTATATATATTAAATAAATGTATATAAACATATGTATGTATAAATATATAATATACAAATATATAAAGTATCTATATAACATATAAATACTTACATATAAAAAATATATAAACTAAGTGTATATAAAATATACAAAAGTATGGAAGTATACATGTGTGTATAAATATATACACACACACACATATTTCAAAGGCTATTTCCTGGGTAGGTATTCAAGGAGGTAACTGAGTACTTTCCCTAAGAAAAAACTTAAGGAGACACGATACAAAAGTATGGAAGTATACATGTGTGTATAAATATATACACACACACACATATTTCAAAAGCTATTTCCTGGGTAGGTATTCAAGGAGGTAACTGAGTACTTTCCCTAAGAAAAAACTTAAGGAGACACAAGAAATAAGTAAACAACACAAATGATATTTTAATGCAATATTAAAAATGAAAATTAATGCCAAAACCTCCATGATAAACCAAACGTTAAAATTTTAAGTAAAGACCAGAAATGACCCTGCACTTGCAAATCCCTGAGAGTCTTACCAAGGAGAGGGAGCACAGCCCATAAATACGGTAAATTACACTCAGTCTATAAATTTTCAGCCAAGAAAATTTAAGCTTCTGACCTGCTAAATGTGCTCAACTGCTTGGACAAACCGCCGCTCATTTTCCTTTTTAGCAAAAGGAGTCAAGATGGGGTTTTGCAAAAGAAGTTTCAGCACGAAGTTAATTAAAAATTATAGAAGATTGTTCTGAATCACAACAAATTATCACACATGGCAATTCTCTCGCTTGAAAAAGAAAGCAGTAATCTTGAAAACATTGTTGAGTTTGTTTAATTTAAAGATAGGAAAGTAAAATTATATACAATTTTTGTTTGGCATAAATAGAATATTTGTACTTAATGCTGTTTTCATATATCTATATTTCTTTTCAAAGACATATCATGTTATCACTTATAATTTTCATTATCTATTTAAGTTCTTGAGTGATGTTTCCTGTTTCCATGATTTGAAATTTAACTTTTTATGGAGACGGATCTTAAGCACAGTATTTTTTTTAAAAGACTCTTGTGAGTTAGGTTGATGTTAGCTGCTGTAACAGAGGAACAGAAAACTACCAGTAATTGGGTCATAATACAAATTTAATCTTCCATCACTTCAAGCAGGCTTAAATATTTTCAAATCCTGACACAGAAACATGGGCCACTGAAAACTCCGACGAGCCCCACAGGGGGGCGACAGGGGGGCGGGCGCACGGCCGGTGTCCCCGCTCACTCGCCCGACGCTCTGTCTACGCGGCTCCCCTGTCCCAGGCTGTCCCGGCCTCGCGTCCCCCACCCGTGCGGAATCTGTGACCGTCCCATCACAGCCCTGCGCTCGCGAGCCCTCGGCTCCCGACTCAGTGGGTTTCCCCGTCACACTCAGTCTCGCTGCGGCTTCTACGCGAAAGAAAGCCCCGAGCAAAGCCCCGAGCACAGGGAGCAGCTCAGACACACACGGCCCTCACCGAAGGAAACGGGGTCGCGCCAAGCCGCGGCGGAGCTCTCTCCGCAGCCATCGGAGGAAAATGTTCTCCACACTATTTAAGCTGCACCGGTTCGGCACGACAAGCGGCGACGTCTGCTCTCTCGGGCTGTGGCACCCACTGAAACCAAAAGCCGCCGGGTCCGTCCGCGTTTCCGAAACCGGAGGCTCAGAAAAGGCCGTTCGCGCGCCCTCTCGCGGCCGCCTCGAGAATCACTGGAATTCTCGATGGTCCACGTCTACGTCGACCTGCTCATGGCGGGAGTGGTGCTCTGCTCCGTCCCTGCCAGCTCATCTGTCTGGGGCATGCCTTCGAGCCATGGCCTGGTAAACGGGGAAGCCATCATGCTAGTGAGACGGATGAAAAAGATCCCATCTCACTCATGCCTCAAGGACAGGAAGAACTTCAACTTTCCTTGGACAGGAGAAAATATCACCCCAATCCAGAAGACACAAGCGACCTGTTTCCGTGGTCACATGCTCCAGCAGATCCTCAGCCTCTTCAAAAGAGAGGACAGCCATGCTGCTTGGGATGCGATCCTCCTGGATAAACTACTCTTCAGCCTTGAGAAGAGCCTGCGACAAGTGCAGATGACAGAAGGAGAAACTCTCTCTTGTCCTGATTTGGGAAATGACGTTCGGAAGTATTTCCAAGAAATGATTGGTTATCTGAGGGAAGAGAAATACAGCCCCTGTGCCTGGGAGGTGGTCAGAGTGGAAATTGAAGTGCGCTTAGTCCTCATTCACCGCCTTCAGAGAAAAGTCAGGAAATGAAGCAGAAGTTACACTCAGGAGCCCCCCTAACCAATTACACGATTGTTTACCAGGCCCCCCAAAGCAAGCTAAACCCACAGTTTTGCACCACCTAAAAATATCTGAATCCTAAATCATGGGATGATGGAAAAAAATACATTCTACACCGTGAATTGACAGTAGAATGATTAGAGAGAATAACGTGGTGTCTTTTCCTAAATAAATACTGTTAAGATTTATAATTTTCATTACGTTTCAATTCTTGAGTGGTGCTTGTTGTTTCTGAAGTTGGAAATTCAATTGTTTACAGACATGGTTCTTCAGTCTAGAATTTGGTGAAGGGCATTTGTCAGTCAAGTTGATGCTCGCTCCTGTAACAGAACAAAGAAAACCAGCAGTAGTTAGATGATAATACAAATTTATCTTTCCTCTATAGAAGAGCTCAGTGCGGGAATTCGTCATCAGAGGACGCTTTGGTTGGCCTCCTCTGAGCGGCCTTTCAGGGACCTGACGACCTACTCTTTTGCAGCTTTGCCATCATCAGCATATAAGTTCAAACAGGTTTGCCACGCTTGAGGCTACTGTGCTCAGTCGATATGGAAAAAACTGTATGGTGGATCACTTGTAGATGCTTTGAAGGACCGATGCTGCACAGGGTGAACATCACTTCCACCCGTATTTACTCAGCCTGGATTCATGCTCGTCGGATACCTAAGTACAAAGAAGAGGGGAAAGAGAGTCTGACCGGGTGATTAGTGAGAAGAGAATATATGTTCTTTGAATAAGACCACTCTTTATTTTTACACTGTGTGTACTAACAGTATTTGTAAGAGAAAATTAACTGACATTCTTGCTAGGCACACTTTATTTCAAAATCTGATGCCAACTCTGATTCCACAATTTAGACTCAAGGAAAATGACACGGATGTCATTCATTAAAGTTCATAGCGACACTGACTCTTGGAAAGAGTTAAATGATTCCCAAAGGCACAGGCCAAAATTGAAAAATAGACAAGTGTATAGGGACAAGGTCCCCAAACACATTGTAACATTCACATCGGCTCCTTATTATCAGAAAAGACAAGGAATGTGCGATCAGGCAAGGCGTTGCGCTTCCTTGAGGGGCACTGAAATAAAACTGGAAGTTGGGTCATCCATCTGCTACCAGGTCCTGTGGCACATCCTGAGGTTCTAAATATTAAAACTACAAATGGGAAGAAAGCATCTCTACAATCAAGTGTTTGTGTTTTGTTTTTTAAATCGTCACAAAATCTTCCATGACAATTTCCCTGCATGAAGCGGGAATAGCTTCCAAATTCTTAAGATCTATTGTCTTCCCAATTCATGTCTCCAGTGTGTATTGGTATTATTCTTTCCACTGTTATTATAGTGATTATCCCTTTCAT